CCGAGGCCTTAGTAATATTCTTCGCAATAATCGGTACACTAAGGAAACAACGTCTTTCTTTCAGGCGACGTAATCTAAACAATATATTTATATTTTTTAACCGTATAACATAACATAATATCGCATCTCCAAGAGATTGTGAGCAGTCATATTGAATGTTATTCATTAGAGACAATTTTCCAAGTTTTGGTAATTAATTCTATATCAGTTTTGTAATTAAAAATAAATGTATTAAAGAATTGGAAAGAATAAGGGCACTAGGAGTCAGGCGCACAAAACGTCGCGCAAATAATACACCTATGAAGCGTAAAACTTCTTTATTCACTAAAAGCGCTTACATCTTTCGGCTTACTTTTGAGCCTTCCTCAGAGACAACATAAACTAACATATATAGGGGAGAATGGGCATGAAGGGGTCACGTTTTGAAAGGGCTGTTTTGTATTGCAACTAACTGAATGATTCTAAAAATTTAAAAATATTTTCATTTGATAACAATGCTAAAACTACGTCAGCCATAAACATTTGACAGTCATCGTCAAAACGGCGTTTCCGTAATGAGAGATGGAAAATTATCGCTACGAAAAGTACGTTTCTTGAGTTAAATTTCCAAGTTTTTTTCATTTATTTGCGATGAGCTTTTAGAAAAAGTTTTTTTTTTATCAAATACTATATACATTAACGTAACTAAGAACGTAGTTACAAATTTTTTTGTTTATTTTGGTTTATCAGATATTTTGTGATTAGATTTTTTACATATAATTTTATGAAAGGGCCGGTATTGACAGCTATGAAGGGGCCAATTCTTTTATTGCATATCTAGAGATGTCCTTTTCAATACAATTGATTTTCTACTTTTTTTAAAGTACAATTTAGGAAATTTTAGTACTTTTCGGGAATTTCACTACTTTTTACGACTATTCGCACGGCGTATAGTACACGATCGCTCGGCGTCAGTGTGTAATCTTGTCAGCACACAGCCACACAGTATTAAAGTGTCGTCAGACAGTTATCGTACACAGCCTCCTTCTCCGAGGAACATCCCTGTGCATACTTATTGTAGGTAAATAGATTTTTAAGTATTTCTGTATTATAAAATGACATTTCTTATGGTTTATAGGTTATGTTTAGGTTTAGGTTATAGCGATTATCGATTTCACCCTTTTCAGATCAAAATGTCCTCAAACAATACTAAAGATAGACCAAAGAAAAAGAAGCGACCTTCTGTTACTGTTATCCAGGAAGCCGTTAAAGAAGTTATTGAATATGGTCACAGCATCAACAGCATTGCACTCGCTCGTAATATCTCAAGAACGTACTTGGCTAGAATTGTAAATAGAGCAAAAGAATCAGATAATCCATATGTTCACTGTCCTAATATAGGCAATAGGCGCATATTTACATTACAACAGGAAAATGATTTAGAAGACTATCTCAAGATAACATCAAAAATGTGTCATGGCCTGTCATACAAACAAACAAGAAATTTAGCATTTCAATATGCTGAAACACTTTCCGTTACCCCAGACAAATGGAAATCAAATAAAGAAGCAAGTATTGACTGGCTGCAGGGTTTTATGAAGCGCCACAAAAGTCTAACAATTCGCAAACCTGAAGCCACTTCTCTTTCAAGGGCCACTAGTTTCAACAAAACAAATGTTAAAATGTTTTTTGACAAATTAACCGCACTTATGACCAAGTATAAATTTCCACCACATTTGATTTTTAACCTTGATGAGACTGGTTGCAGTACTGTCACAACTCCTCCAAAAGTAATAGCTCAGCGTGGGACAAAGCAAGTGGGACAGGTTACTTCCGCTGAACGAGGCAACTTAGTGACAGTACTTTTCATGATCAATGCTTCTGGATCCTCACTGCCACCGGTTTTTATATTTCCAAGAGTTCATTACAAGGATATTATGTTAGTTAATGGCCCAGTAGGAGCTCTTGGCTTAGCTAATAGTAGCGGTTGGATGAATGAAGAATGTTTCGTATCAGCACTTCAGCATTTTATGAAATATGTTAATCCAACAGAAGAAAATCCTATGTTGATCCTTATGGATAATCATTGTACACACGTAAACGTTTCAGTCATAGAATTCGCTAGGAAAAATCATATAATTATTTTAACTTTCCCACCACATTGTAGCCATCGCTTACAGCCACTTGATGTGGCTGTGTTCGCGCCATTCAAATCAAGATATAAAATAGTAATGAATGAATGGATGTTATCAAATCCTGGTGTTACAGTGACTATTTATCATGTTGGTCAATTTGTTAAAGAAGCATTTTTGACGTCTTTCACGCCTCACAATTTGACACAAGGATTTGCTAAAACCGGCATATATCCATTAAATTCAAACATATTCTCAAATGAAGACTTCCTTCCTTCATATATTACTGATCGGTCTCTACCTACTGAGAGTGACTCTCAACAGCAATCAGAAGAACAATCTAACATCGTGGAAGTAACATATATTCATGTAACTCAAGATCCAACTCATGTAACTGAAGAATCCGAATCATCGCCTCAACTTAGCACTTCTACAAAAAATATAGTCCCACTTGAACGTATACGTCCTTTTCCGAAAGCAGGGCCTAGGAAAAAGGTAATAAGTAAACGTAAAATGAATTCAGCAATTATAACAGACACATCAGAAATGCAAAAAATATTAGAAAAAGAAAATGAATCAAGATCTAAAAAGAAGAAAATACAGAATATGACCACGATAAAATCTATAAAATCACTTAGGAAAAAATGTGAAATTAGTAACAGCAGTCTAAATAGTCAGGATATTTTATTACATAGCAATGACTCACTCAATAAAATTTCAGAAACTAAGGTAGGAAAGATTTCATCTAATACTATGGCAATTTCTGAAAATACTAAATCATCTGACAATAATTGCTGTGTCTGTTCAATAGATTATTCCATAAGTAGTGAAGACTGGTATCAATGTAAATTGTGCTCTGGCTGGGCTCATACTTCGTGTGGCAATAAGGGAAATTTTCATTTCTTTTGCAATAAGTGTTTTTAAAAATATTATATTTTGTTTCCACACATTTATTAATTTTATTAAAAAAGTATGTTTGTTAAAGGATAACATTGTGATTAAATTTCTAAAAAAGTATATTTGTTAAAGGATAACATTTTGATTTTATTTGCGTTAAAATTTGAATAATTTAGTACTCGGCCCTTTCAAAACAGGGTATAGCCCTTTCAATACCATGTTGTTTTGAAAGGGCTGAATTTCAAATTTATAAAAAATGATGATTAATCTTAGTTAACGATTAAATATTATTTTTCTGTTAAATGAATCTTATAGGCAAATGTGTATTGTTAACTACAAAAGTGATTATATTTGTTTAAACACCAGATTACATTTTTTTTCCGTACCTTAAAGAAAAACGGCCCTTTCATGCCCACTCTCCCCTAATTATCGTATTGAATTCGTCGCAGGGTTGAAAGCGGTAGGATTATGGTTGAGTAAGAATGAGAATAAGAAGGAATTAAAACCAAAAAGAGCGAAAGAAAAAGGAAAAAAAAAGAAATTAGGAAACATCGAAAAACAGAATATGGAGAGCCCATTCATGAAACAACTTTAAGATTACAACTATCCAGCAAATATAAGGACGCTCACCACGCTCACAGAGCACCACATCGCAAACGTTCCCACAAAAACAATTCAAGAACCGGCTTCTGACAATGCCGGCCAGTCAGTATCAGACACAGTGAGTCACTTTTTGTTTTTTAGCTCGTAATTTTCCGAGATAACAAATGGAAAAATGTAACGTTAAAGCGTTAATCAATTCCAAGAAAAAGAAAGTTGGAAAGTAATCGATAAACACGTCAAAAGTGAGCCGAAACATGTAAGCGTGTTTAGTGAATAAAGAAGTTTCATCCTTCATAGGTGTATTATTTGCGCGACGTCTTCTGCGCTTGACTTCTAGTGCCCTTATTCTTTCCAATTCTTTAATTTATAAGGAGTCTTGGTTAGTTTGATTTGTTATATACGGATAAATGTATTATATGTAAAGCAAATGGTATGACGTTTCGTCCAATGTGATACATGTCATACCTAACATTGAACAGAATTTTCTAATAAAATGCAAAATTTACTTACACAGTTAAAAAAAATCACACCCAAAAAAAATATTCTGCCGTTTAGCGGTTCCGTATTAATGTCAGAGGATTTTCCATTTATATATGACCTCGAGAGGATACTCTCCAAAATAGAGGAATTTCGTTTACCCATGACAGGTTGGCTTTAAGATTGCAATCCTCTTAATAATAGAAGAATCTCTTTGCTTGAATTAAATATCATATTTACTTGTAATAAGAAAATTATGGTTATATCTTAATGAAAAAAATAATTCTTTTGTTATATTATTGCTTTTTATTTTTTCAGTTTAATTTATATTTTTACTGTTTCGCATACTTATATTCCGTCTTATTAACTACAATTAATTATTGAAAAACGCATCGCATCGCCGGCGCCGGTAAGATTTGAACCTACGATCCCTAGAACGGCAAGCCTAATACATTTACTGCTTAGCCTAATACATTAGCTGAGCTAATCGCACGCTTGTGATCGAGTCATTGCCAACGGTATACCTCCTACTGTAACCATTCTTAATTTCATGACAGTTTCATATTATTAATATTTGATGAGGTTACATAAAAACGAAATAACACTGGTATTTATTAATTCAAAATAATTAAGATAAATATTATATGAAAAAACACCATTGTGGAACAATATAAAAGTCATGTTGCATGCACAATTTGATTCCAAAATAAATATTTATTTAAATTGAAACTATGAATTACTTCAAACAAGAAAAAAATTTCTTGTTTCTAAACTATGTTTCACTTTTCCTAAATCTGTTATATAGAACTGAAAGAAATATACCAAATTTTTCTGATCAAATAAATTTTCTTACATCAATATATTATTAAATATTCGAGTTAATCAAATCTGACTTTTCGATAAAATTTTATAATATACTTCAAAAGAGAATAAATTCTTATTTTGAGTATATGATATTGAGTATTTCTAAAACTTGGGATGAATACATTTTAAAACTACTAGCGAGAAAATATTCTTTATTGAAAGTAACCGTTACTTAAAAGAAGAAAAATAAAATGAATAATTGCTTTTCTTGGCAATAGAATGATATTTTTCTGTATGTTATATATCTGATTGTCATATGCTTATTAGAGGAAGTCGTTTTTACGTAATCCAAAAAATACTCTCGTTTGTAGAGAATAATATTCCTTTCAATATAGGAATCTTCTTGAGATATATATATATAATAATGTGTAGCTAGGATAGCACGTCTTGAGGAAACATGAGCTATGATCAAAAATAAATTCCTCTATACAAAATTCTATTATAATAATTTGAATAGCCTTTTGAAATAAGAGGATGTACAAGAAGTATCTTGCATATTCTTTTATTTCAAAAGGCTATTATAATAGAATTTTCTATAGAGGAATTTATTTTTGATCGTAGCTCATGTGTCCTTATTTTTATAGATGAATACGTGTTATAAATACACGCGCCTGATTCATTTAAGATTTTTTGCTTAGAGGAAATGCTAAAAGTAATTCCCCGCTTATCGGCAGAATATTTTTTTTTGGGTGCAATATTCTGAAATATTTTTAAATAGTTTTAATGAGATAATATGACATTTCATGCATCACCTTCTATATATGGTAAGTCTCATATAATTATTATACAATATCGAAATATCAATTTATTTTCGATCATGGGTTATCTTTCAGATAATTTTATCGCAGTAGATCTAGTGTGAATAACATGCAATGTGGATTATTTTGGCACTTTTCGTCACATATTTGTATAAGTAATTGATAATACAATATAAGTTTGATACCCTCGAAGTTTTTTCTTATAAGTAAAATATCTTTCTTTAAATCTTGAAATAGAAATATTATACATTAACGTTTATCTAAATTTAATTTGAAATATGATATTTCGTTCATCAACTATAAAACTAAAACAATCGAACAAATATATTTCTTTACAACATCCAATTAATTTATTCTAAAATAATTTAGAAAGAGATATCTTTATCTTTGAATGTTTCTTATTATCTCGCGATTTCGCGTAAAAGGAACCACAGTAATGTCGTTGCGCTTAGCGCCGAGACAACGTGTCTCCTGATATATACACATATATACGAGTATATATATATATATATATATGTACATATATCGCAATCATTGTATAGATACAATTTAGTAAACCAGAGATTTCTAGACAGACAACGGAAAACACTTTAGTTATGGAATAATACATTTTGGAATAATACAGATAAAAATTCTCGGCGGTTATTCATATTTATATCATAGAGATGATCACTTATTATTAGCGATGGGATTAAGTATCTTACAAGTAGGTTCGAATCTGTTAAAGAAGTTTCGAACTCTCTATGATTACTTCGAAAAACAGTAGCAGTACTTCCAAGTAGATTCAAACCTAAACGAAATAGGTTCGAACCTCTATGAATACCTCGAAAAATAAAAATAGTACTTCCAAGTGGACTCGAACCTAAACGGAATAAGTTCGAACCTTCTATGAGTACCTCGAAAAATAAATTTGGATTAATAAATTTACATGGATTAATAAATCCATGTAAAAGAATATTTAATTGTTTTCTAATAGCTATTATTTTCGATAAGTTTACATTCATCTCACTACTAATTTCTTCCGTAACATAAAAAAATATACCCAAAACGACCACAATTGTATGAAGAGCATTCTGGATCAGTTAATAATTCAAAATTATATTTTAAAGTTGCTAACGCTAAGATTATAGCACGTTTTTGAAAAATCATTTCTATTTCTTATAATTTCTAAGATATTCGCTTCGAAAGAAAAAAATCGATTTTTTCAAGAGAGGATTTCACCCCCTTAACGCTCTCAGCACGTATAAAAGAATACATTTCGCCTATTTTTATAATTATTTCAATATAAAAACTTAAAGAAAGGGTATTACAATCGAAGGCCACGAAAGAGTTTGGCATTTATTCACATATTTTCTTCAAATAGTGAATAAAACATGTAAATGTACATATATTCGTGTAATAACATGTCCAAGAAATTATAATTAAATGCTGAAATGTACCTTGAAAACGTTTCGAAATGTTTAAAAGTAAAAAAATACATAGATCATATGAATTTCTATTCGTTAATAACCCTGTTAGAGTTCGAGTACTACTTGTAAAAGATTCAATTTTGTACGATAAAAAGTACTTTCTAAGTATATTCCGAATCTTACAGGTACTCGTATGTAAGATTCGAAACCAGCAAGTTGGGATTGATTACTTTGCAAGTATGAAGTATGAAATATTATTTCTTATGAGTATTACTCGAATCCTAGAAAATAAAACTAAATTATTGAATTTGACTCGAATTTTTAAGTACATATTGAGTTTGATCTCATCTTTACTTATTATCTATTTCCTTTTATAAAGATACGTGAGCATCGTTTATAGCTTATACATTATATACATATAATGATTATATATTGTATATATACATACTAGTCGTTTACGTATCTGTACAGATTGTACATATTACGTACATTATATCATATTGATAGATTAGACGTTATACGTTACGGTAACAGAGTATTTTTATATCGCAATGCGAAGAACTTACGTGATTGCTTCATATCAATTGATTTATCACAAACTTTCAAGTGTTTTGCAGTTTTATGAAAGTTTAATTGTAATATAAGAAAATATAAATAAAATATAGTATAGGATGTTTCATAACATCTAACTTCAAAAATAAATTCAGGATATAAACTTTCTATGTTACAAAAATAACATAAAAAGTTTATATAAACACTTGTACATATCCGATTTTGGTTCTAAGTTTTGTTTTATATATGTTTCGTGTTTCATTAGCTTGCATTACAAGCTGAGCTAACATAATATTTTTACACATTAATTTTGTTATTAATTAATAGTAAATATATCTTAATTTAAATTATAGCAGGGTTGGCAAGTAACGCATTACGTGTAACATTACTGTTACAAGTTACTTTTTTCATTAACGAATGGGTAACGGCGTTACATTTTTTTGAGTAACGTTCATGGTAACGCAGTTACATTTTTTGGGTAATGGTAGCCTATACGAAGTTAGCCCCCCACTTTTTGAATTCACTTATTTTGAGAATTGTGCTGAATTGTGCTAGGTTTGTGCTACATTGTGCTCGAATATTAATGTCAAAATACGAAAAATACGTTAAAAAATTTTTTAAAAAACCGTATTTTAGACCAGCCCCCCGCTTTGTGATTTTTTCAATTTTTAAGATTGTGCTAGGTTGTGCTAAGTTGTGCTAACATTGTGCTAAAGTGGTATTTACAAATAATGACAACAACAGAAGATATGGCAAAAAGAGATTTTTTACAATTCAGAATAAAAATAACGCTAACATTCGTATCCATTATTTAAATACCACCAAATTGCATATCTGAGTTATGTTAGGCTAGTACAACTCAGATATGCAATATTAATCACATCGAAGCGTTAGAAACCCGAATTTTGAACAAAAAATGCTTTCGCGAGCGG